AATTTAAAAATAATTAAAAATTTTATTTTAAAAAAAAACTTAAAAAGTTAATTTTAAAACAATTTTTTATTTTATTTTTTAAAGAACATTTTTTTAAAAAAAAAAACTTTTTATTTTATTTTTCTAAGTAACTTTGTTTTTTTTTTAAATTTTTTTTAATTTTATTTTTCTAATTAATTTTTTTTAAAAAAATAATTTTTTATTTTATTTTATTGTTTTAAGTAACTTTTTGTTAATAAGTTTTTATTTTATTTTTTTTTTAACATAAGTTTTTATTTCAAATTTCTTTTTAAATTTATTTTATATATATAATGCAAAGTTACCATTTTATCCATTTTCAAATTAATGAAAAATGGTAAAAAGAAGTTGAGTGACCATAGTGAAATGTTATATGAAATTAGGTGGCCATGGTGAAACATTATATGAAATTGGATGGCCTTGGTGAAATAAAATCAAATTGGGTGGCCATTGTGAAACAAAATATAAAGTTGATTGGCCATAGTGAAACAAAATAAAGTTGGGTGGCCACTGATGAATTTAACCCTTTTGTGGGAGAAAAGAGAATTCAACTTGGATTGGAAATCTTCAAGGCAAGAAATGGAAGTTTGCAAATTGTGCAGTTGAAAAAGAGATGTCTCTTTAAGATGATGTGACAGTCCTATGCCATTAAGGGAAGGGAGGGTCTGGTAGCAATGACGTTTTCCGATAGTGGGATCATCGAAAGTAGGAGAATTCTTCTAGGTTGAATTAGGATTTGCAGGGGCTTTGTAATAAGAAATTGACCATGGAATTCTCAGTACATAACCAAGATCCATGAGACGTGTAGATGAATTGGTGCTTGAAGTTGGAGAAGAAGAAACTGGAGAAATTAACACTAATGGACAGAAAATTAAGAAACTAGGTTTCATATTCATTTTGTTAGTTCAAAAACAAATAGATTCAGACAGAAAGATTCAAGAAACTATAATTGGAGAAAAAGCATAATTCATTCCCCTCTATTGCAGATAGTTCCTAGAAGAGAAAATGGGTGGTGAATAAGATCGAAATTTGGGATGCGGGAGAAAATTTGTAAGGAAGAAGTAAAAAACATGTTTGCTAAATGGAACTAAAATTGCTATTTTACATATTGTGTTTTTATCCTCCGTGTATTCAACTACTGTCGTATTGCCACATCATTTTTTCGTTATCGTCCACATATACAAACGGAATTGGCCCTGGTGATGGATGATTAATGAATAATTGAGTGAACATCCAGTAACCATTTATTTTTTGTGAGCAAGTGGTAACTAATAGTAAAATTCAATGGCCGATCATTTAATTAACTCACTCTAGAAGTGAATGGTACAGTCAATTGCGAATGGTTGCGGGAATGATCAATTGGGCTGAAATAGGCCAATAAAATAGAGGGCTTTGCTTGTGGGCAACTTTATTTGTGAAATTGACAATGAGAAAGAGAATGAAAAGACGAGGATACGTAGTTAAAAATTACAATTGTGCTATATGCACATCACAACTTATAAATTTATTTATAAATAGATGATGTGATAAGATTTGATGGATTAAAATCTCATCAACCAAATTAAAAAATAAAAAAAATTCTTCACTTTCTTTTGACAACTCATTGATCCGTAAAAGATTACTTAAATTATGATGCACAACAAGCATTTTCTTTTATTGATTGGTGCACGGGGAAAGAAAAATATGAAAGCACAAGAATAGTTAACCAATAGGGAGGTGAATTGGTTTTTAAAACTTTTTCGTAAAATTAATCTAATTTCAAGCAAATAAGAAATAGATAGATTAATTTAAATGACAAATATAAGTATAAAAGCGATAAGTAAAAGGAAGAGAAAATGCAAACGATGTATTTATGGAGATTTGATCCCAAACTTGATCTACGTCCCTCATTATCAAGCTCTCCGTTACGAGCAAGGTCTTTTCCACTATCATGATTGACTTATGGTGTAACCCAACCATTTACAAAGCTTCCAGTGACTTTCAAACAAGGAGTATCGATCCTTTTAAAATGTTGAGATTTACGGGACCTCAACACAACCCACACTATTGAGCTTTACGGGACTTCAACATG